TGAGGTGATGAGACATGCCAGAAGGAGAGATATTCAAGCGATATGACCACTTACAGAGCACAGGAGATAAATGCGTATGGGATGATGTATGCGGCTGGTACATAGGAATGACAAGCAAGAAAAGAGTGAAAAGGATTAGATGATGAAGACCAGTGAAGATGAGGAATGCAAAAATGGAAGAACTGAGAATCGGATGAATATATGCAGAGCAAGAGAGGGCAGGCCATTCATTTCTTCACAAAAAGGCGTGAGAGTGAAAAGTGGGGAGCAAAAGAAGGCACCAGAAGGGCTCTTACCGTAGATACAGACTCGGTACACAGATATGTAGCAGCTGAGTTGAGTTGAGTTGTGGGTCGTCAAGTAAAGGCGGTGATAGGAGATGACTCTTGATGATGCTATATCGAAATACGAGTGGAGATATGGAAATGTTGTGATTCTTCAAGGCTGACTTGATATATAGGTGGTTGGATGAGAACAAGGAAACTCTTTGGGTCTGTGCTGCGATGTAGGATGTGGTGGATGATGTCACTGGGACAAGCAGTGCTGACTATGTTTTATACAATTCTACGGCCATGACGAGCACCCGAGAGAGATGTGACTTCATCCTCGTTTGTGTTGTTTGCGCAGTCTGTCTGTTTGTTTGGAATAAAGTAGAGTAGGTTGAACGCAATGATCGGCTCAGATAGGTTCAGATCGGATGTTGAATGGAATCGGAAGGTGCTCAAGTGTGCTCCTTTAGTTCCATCATCATGACTTCCTTCGATTTGATCAGCTTTGATCCACTCGTTAAAATTGTGAATCGTCTTGTGCTCGAGTGTGAGTTGATGAAGTATGGTAAACAGAACATCAAAATATAGTCCTCAGCAGATCAGTCTTGCTTCGATTTGGTATGTATTTATCAAAGACCATCACAACTATCACAACAGATCGCTTGATCTGCAGCAAGCTCATTACTGCTTCAAGACCACCTTCAAGACACACAAACCAATATGTATGTAGCTTGTCCAGCTTTTCCCTCACTTTGATTGAACCCATGAAACGTAGGCTTGGCATGTAGGATCTGAATTGGCGAAACTTCATATGAGCTCTCTTCACACGCCAAATGAAATGTCAAACAGAGCAAAACAACATGATAGGGACGAGGCGTAATTTGACCAGACTCTCGCTCACTACTGCAGGTTTTCCACCTTTGAAGCAGCTCTTGACTTTGGGATCTGCCTGGATCTGCGGATTGAATCATTTCATAGCGAGCGAGTAACATACTACAGGATTCTGATACCATCTATGATCTTTGAGATGTCCGATGAATGACACCTCGACCTGAATGCTGAGCTTGTGATCATTTTGAAGCTGCAATTGTTTCCCTCTAACTCACATATCATTGATCACTCCTCAATTTACAATCCTCTCACCAAAAACCTCTCCATCTCAATCAACAGCATGGAAGGAGCCAGTTTACTATTTTAGCCGTATGTACTTTCTATCAGGTCTCCAGCTTTGGTTGGGTAACTCAACCCTTATGCTGGCCTGGTGGTAAATCTATCAAGTTGAAGAATCTGGTGAAATTCTCCAATACATGCATAAGATCCAATAAGGGTTGGGCAAAAAACCTACCCACCAGTTTCTGGATTGCCCAAAAAACAATTGAGTAGGCTTTGTAGATGGTCAATTGGAGTCCACACTTCAATTGACTTTGGGTGTCTTATGATAATTGTTCTAATTTAATCTTTTCTCTAGGTACAGTATGGCATATAGCAGAACCAAAGTACAACCAGCAGGCATTTTATAATGACCACAAGTAATTCCATAGTCTCAAAGATCAGGCCATGGTGACACCCAAGGGAGTGGGATTTTGATCATCTTGTACCTTTTGGTAACAGCTAACAACTCATTTGGTTGATATTCTAGTGGCATTACAGCATATTTGACAGAGGTGTACATTGGGTCACACCAACACAGCAATCCTGAGGATGTCAGGCTCGAGTGTGGTCTCAGAAGGCAATGTAAAAGGCTTTGGGGAACACCAAATGATGCTTTATGGTGACCAAGGTTACCAGAACTCTGCAGTGATGCTGTCACTGTATTGAGTTTTCCATCTTGGAGAGGACAAAGCAAGGTTTAATTGGATCATGGCAGGTGTTTGTGTAGCAGTCAAACACAAGTTTAGTTGGCTGAAGGATATTTTCTGCATGACACAGTATAAAGGTATGCCCTCTTATATGTGGATTGGAAGCCTGGAAGAGTTGTAAGACTAGATCAATTTTTGGTTTTGCACATCAGAAAACCTACAACTTTAAAGCTCATTGTTTTATCACTGCACTGTGATACTGAATAACTTGTTGATCTGTTGTGGTCAAGGTCCACTAGGGGATGTTGCATCACCACCAACATCAGAGGTTTATTTGAGTGACCATTGTATTGTGCCTCCAGTTGATGTTTTATCTGAACAGTGATTTATTTATTAATATTCTTAGATCCCGATCCACCTCCCAAAATCTCTGTACCCTGTTGTAATGGCAGGGCTTCAGAGATTTGGGATGGTGATCAACCAGGACCTCTCTGCTTCCCACTTACAACTCAACAAAGTGTAGCTATGGGTAGAATCAAGCAATGCCAAATCTATCCTTCCTCTGGCTCCTCTATTCATACTTTTCTGTGGCCCCTATCCATGATTTATTCTTTCCAAAAGCCTTCTTTGCAAGGCTGTTTTTCTCTCCTGCTTTCTTTGAAGCATTGATCATCAATAGTTCATAAGATGCTCCTTGAAAATGAGAAGAAAGCTTGTGCTTCCTTCAAAAGCAACAATTGCTGAAAGAAGCACAATTTCTGGACCAGCTGAAAGTTATCCTCCCTGTCCACTTTTCCAAAAGCTCTCTGAACCCAACCATGCCTCAATCAATGGAAATCCATTTGTTGGAAATGCTACAAGAAAGACCCTGATTCAAAAAAACCCATGTTGTCCACAAAAGCACTTCTTGATCAATTTAAATGCAACAACTAAAATTAGATTCATTGTACAAATAATGATATCTGCTTTTTACCCCCTTACTTACATTCAAATGATAAGCTATTTGTCTGAAATGACCACAAGAGAGAGCTGCATAATTCAAAAGCCCCCCATGCTGTCTGCAAAAGCACTTCTTACGCCAGGTAAATGGAACAAACAACATTGGATTCATTGTAAGAATGATGATATCTGCTTTTCACTGCCTTACTCACATTAACTTTCACTGATGAATGTTATCCCATTTTCCTAGAAACAGCACTTTCTATAAAAGCCACAATATGCTTTTCAAATGCTACTAGACATCTGGGATAGTATCTGATGAAAAAAGCACCATTTATACCAAGTATACTATCCCTCTTCTCCCTTTCCTACATATGTCCTCCTTAAACAAGTCAACCATCTCCCAACCCTCCACCAGCCCACACCTTCAGTTACATCTCATCTCACCCACTCAAGTCATAACGACCTCACTCAAGCCATGAGATCTCAAGTTATACCACCCTTAACGGCTGGTGTCTTACCTACGTCCCTTCAATCAACCCCATCAACACAACATTTGCCTCAAGTTTGATTGAGACAAGAATATCTCTGTGAGTCATATTATGATCCTTGTGTGCAATTTTTTTGTTCAGGTATATCCCAAGCTCACATTCCATTTTTCAAACCACCCAATCAGCACAACACTCACATGGTCTATGCAAGTTGAATCAAAACCCCACAAACAAATCAAACCTCAACAATTGGACTTCCTTCTCTAAAATCTTACTAAACTCATATCAATAATAATATCAATAATTAATCTACATAACATATCAAACTTTAAAAATGATATAAGATTCATATTCAAAACAAAAATTCACCACTTAAAGGCTTCATCCCTCATTTTACCTCCCACTTCCTCCACCTCACCCTCTCCCACCCTATCATCTTCAACTTCCTTCCCCCAAAGCTTGCCACCTAGAGACACAACCTGATCTGATTGGTCTGCTTGAGACTCTTCTTCGAGAGTGGTTAGTTTATTAATGTTCTTCTCTTATGAGTTTTCTGTACTGTTTCCTTTGCTGTGTCTGAACCTTCACCTTCATATATCCCCCTTTGTTAATACCAAGTACCAACTTCAAGTGTCAGTGAGATACATAGTTCTATATTACAGCTATTCATGATCCTCTTTCTTGGGTGCTTAGGATAGATCACCCATCATGTACAAATTATATTGAGAAATGTGGTGTGACATGTGTGAATGGATATTTGCTATGGTTGAATGTCATCAAAGACTGGATAATTGGCAGAAAGTCTTCAAAGAGTACTTTTCTTGCATGGTTCAGCCTTTTGAGGCTTCAGGGGCAGTATTGAGATTTCGGTATTGCTGGCTCACTGTGCATGACTCCTGGTCTACTTTCCTTGTGTTTTCAAAGTATCTTTCTATCAGTTTATGATTAGATTCTGTAAATTGGCTGTTGAAAATTAAATGACAACACATTTCCAACTGGTTTCAAAAGATATAGAAAGAAAGCCTTGATGTGCAACTTGCAGGAAGTCTACCCACGAAGTTTCTATGTGATAGCAATTTGGTCCGGAAAGTGTTCTATAATGTATAACCAGTCATCAAAGTCAAAAAATGTGACATTGATGAAAAGAATGAAAGGCAAACCAAGGGGCGGGCAGAAGATGTACGTGAAATTCTCTATATAATCATTGTGAATATGTATACAACTTAACTTGAGCCACAGAAACATTGTTGCGAAGAGCAGACAGAAACATATGCGGAGAATTAAATAACAGTAGTGATTGGTAACAAATAGATATGATAATGAAAGCAATAGATAAGAATACTGACTCCTAAACCGATATACATCAAAAGAGGCAACAAGGATATATGTATACAACAAAGTTTGGACACCGGCCTTCTAGACAGAAACTCAAGGTCGAATTGTTAGGGCGGTTTTTCGCACTGCTGCCCACGTCAACATTCGCCCCGTGCATCGCATGTTCATCACATTTTGCCTCCCATTTTCGTCATGCCTTCGCCGCCCCCGGCCTTCTTTGGTGCTCCGCCTGGTGGACCCCCTGCTCCTGCTCCATCGCCGCCCATGCCCTTCTTCGGTGCCCCGCCTGGTGGACCCCCTGCTCCTCCGCCCGGTGAGCCCCCTGCCCCGCCTGATGCACCACCGCCTGATGCACCACCCGCGGCAGGGCCACCTCCATTGAGGAGTTTTGCGGAGAATGAGATTGCTTCTTTCTCATATTGGCTTCCAGGATATTTGAGATGAGGTCCCATTGAACCTCCACAACAGATCATATCACCAGTCAAGCAGACATCCTGTGTCTTAGGACCAAAGTTAGGAGGAAGCTTGATTCCAGTCATTGCGGCAATACTTTTTCCACTTTTCTATTGGATGAAGAGTTGGTGCAAAAGTCTCAGTACATGTTGTTTCCTAACGAATTTCAACTTTGATGGAATCACTCACCGCCGTTCCGGCGTTCCATTGTTTCCCCGCTATCCAATAAGGATTTCCATACAGGACGATTGAAGAGACCAGATCTGCTGGAAAGCCTTGCTTGTTCAATAATTGGGTGATCACCATCGCGCCCTCCGAATATCCGATCAAGACCAACTTCGACGACCCGCATTTGCCCTTCCGATTGGTGATGTATTTCATCGCGTCATTTGCACCTTGCTTAGGTCCATTATTGTAATCCGTAGTAGCTGGATAAACGACTTCATAATTTGATCCACCTGCCACCTGCTTCATTAAACCCTTTATAAAGCCAGCATATCCCGTAGGATTCTTTTGCTTTTCGCCGGTTCCTCTGGCACTATGTGTAGGAATGATTTGAAAGGGAATAAACATCAATGACCTCGACCAAAACACGAGGGAAAAATTGAAAATAAAGCTGACCTGACAATCGCATATTTCCCACATTCTCCTCCCCCACCACCGCCACCACCAGCCGCAGGCGCAGCAGCAGCAGCACCACCACCACCAGCACCTGGAGGTCCACCACCACCTGGCTTCTTTGGAGCATCATCGCCGCCTTTTTTGCCGCCACCTGGGGGGCCACCTCCCCCCATCATTCGAGGTCGAAGGTCTCGGAGTGAAAGATGTGAAGTAGTGGCCGAGATGGTGGAAAGGTTGAGTGACAAACATAACAAAAGGAGGGTACAACGGATTGATGACATGTGGCTGTTTAGTATAGAATGCAAATTCCTTTGACCTGCTTTCGAGCAATTATAACAAGGATTGTGAGTTGGTGGTGTGGAACTTGAAGACCTGATGTGTGAAAGTAAGATTGAAGTGAATTACTGGTGCACAATACTTTTTAAAGAAGTGAGAACGGAAGAAATGATATTAAGCAAAAAAAACTAAATCCTGAGGTAGAAATTGCACAGCAATATATAGAAAAATAAACTCTTGTCAATCGAGACTATAGAAAAGATGCGATAGAGTGCTTCAACGAGCTTCTTAAGCTTTGAGAAATTATGAATTGGATCGCAAGAACATAAATAATTAGCAACACTGGACGTGTTGGAATGCTGGAAGATGATTATGGAATATTAGATAATACGGTAAGGGAAGTGATTAACCAAGCTGGGAAAATTTAAAGGAGGATGAAATGGGTGGAGAGAGTTGTAATTTTGAGACCGGTCAATGAGTCGGTGACTCGAATTGTGATTAAGAATGTATTCTGAGCTCAAAACCTGAAAGCCCATCTCGACAGCTTGGTTGGATGGATCTTCATGAAGACCACCTGCCTCGGATGATCCATAGGCATGTCGAGTAGAACCAGACATTCAAAAATGTTAGCTGTACCACGGCGTTCTAAGACTCACCGTGATCCTAACAAAATTCATATCAAGTAGGACTGGTTTTTGCCACGCCGCTTTCATCAAAAGCCATTGCATTGCCGTCAAGCGACTACGTGGTCAAACTTAATGATTAACTATCTTACTCGACCACACATCAATTTTTCTTCATGTCAGGATAACAGCTGGTATCTATTTGTTTGGTACGGTGATCGGAAACATCATACACATGTTTGATACCAAAACCGATAACTTCTCCGAATCCTGAAAGAATCAAAAAATTAATCCGCTTCTTAGAACATCACGAGGTGATTTGACACATTCTGAAATACGAAAACTTCTTCCAAGTGCCAACCAACAACTGCTTCGACGGGTAAGATACGTGTGTGTGTGACATAAGAACATTGAGGCAAAAATCGAAGTTTTCGAACCTTTAACCACCATTGTACTGTACATACATCTTGATAGAAAATATCTTGACGGGCAACATTGTCCTCCTCTCACCTGGCTTATCTTATAACAATCGAATTAGCTAATTTTCAACCATGATGGTTGATTGATCACACTCGCTCTATGTATCCTCCTCATTATGGCACTGAAATTGTAAGATCAAATTGAAACGCGAAGACTTCGATTGAAATTGATGTCAGATAAAATGACGTCTTTGGGACGATATTGAGTATTTCCAGCATAACATCTGAAACTGCTTTCAAAAAGCACAAACAAAGTAAACCATGAATTTCTAATCTTTGGTCATCAGTGAAGCATGCGAAATTTGGAAACTTGGTACAAATCATTAAGTTAGGTCAATACGTCTGATTACATAGTAGAAAGACGAGAATCAAGAGGGAAGAGAAAAAATTTAGTGTCAAACTGTTTAACCACTTGGATACGAAGTACAAAGCAACAGGGGGATATAAGGGGAGATGCATGATGACGATGAAGGAGGAGCGTTACAAAGTTGAGAAAGGGGATATTTATGAACGCCATTTGAAATTCTTCGCGTTCACCGTGTTCGCCTCATGCCCCCCATCTTCATTCCACCCATGGCCTTTCCCTCACCAGCGCCTTTACTCGCACCGGCACCGGCGCCTCCACCAGGTGGTTTGGGGGGACCACCACCACCACCACCGGCTGCACCACCACCTGGAGGACCGCCACCACCACCTAGGGCCTTTTTTGGAGGACCTCCCGAATCACCACCGGATGCGCCACCCCCGGGAGGACCACCTGCACCACCTTTCTTTGGAGGACCTCCCGCATCACCACCTGATGCACCGCCCGCGGGAGGACTGCCTCCACTGAGCATTTTGGCGGAGAAGGTCACGGCGTCTTTTTCGTACTGAGTTCCAGGGTATTTAAGATGTGCACCCATTCCTCCTTGACCGGTACAGATGATATCGCCGTTCAGACAGATATCTTGCGTTTTTGGTCCAAAAGCAGGAGGAAGCTTGATTCCAGTGGCAGCGGCTACACCTTTTCCAGATTTCTGTTGAACGAAGAGTAATCAGAAAAAAACTATTGATTGACTTTATCAATGTTGAAGTACTCACAGCTGTTCCAAAATTCCAAGCTTTTCCTGCTTGCCAATAAGGATTACCATACATGATGACTGAAGAGACCGAGGCTGCCGGAAAATCTTGCTTGGCCAATAATTGGACTACTACCATTGCACCCTCTGAGTATCCGAGTAAAACGAGTTTCTGAGAAGGGCATTTTCCTTTTTGCTTTGAGATATATTTCATTGCGTCGGTGGCACCTTGCTTGGGTCCGTTCTGATAATCTGTGGTGGCTGGGTAGACAACTTCGTAATTCACACCACCTGGGGCCGTCTTCAATAGACCCTTTATGAAACCAGCATAACCTGTAGGATTCTTTTGCTTTTCGCCGGTTCCTCTGGCACTATATGTAGTAATTTTTTCAAAGATAATAAATATCAGTGACCTCGACCAAAACACGAGCGAAAAATTGGAAATGAAACTAACCTGACGATCGCATATTTCCCACAACCTCCGCCTGCCGCTTCTCCCGTTGCTCCACCAGCACCACCAGCAGCACCACCCCCTGGAGGGCCACCACCCCCTGGAGCCTTCTTTGGAGGACCTCCCGCATCACCACCTGGAGCCTTCTTTGGGGCACCACCACCACCACCCGCGCCACCACCTGGGGCACCACCACCTCCCATCATTCGAGGTCGAAGGTCTCGAAGTGAAAGATGTGAAGTGGTGGCCAAGATGCTGGAAAGGTTGAAAGACAAGCACAAGAAAAGAAGGGTACTACTAGAGCGAATTGAAAACATGCTGTTTGAGTAAAGGTAGTATTGGAAAGACGGAATACAAATTGCTTTGAACTATTCGGATCAAAAAGTAAAAGTGATTATTTTCGAAGATATTACTTTGGGTTAATGAAAACAAAGATTATAATTGGAGGTAAAGAGATGGTATGGGTAAGGTATACAAAAAGAATTAATACTAAACGTAATCGATATATATTATTATGTTAGTGTGGAAATATGAACAAGATTGAAGGAAAAAGATTATCGAACGACTTTAGGAGACGGAAGGAGATTGGGTAAAAAGTTTTGATGGATTCGATCTTGAATGGCACTCCGTTAAATAGGATATTCAAAACTATAGTTGATTCAGGGCGTCACTCGGCCATTTGGAATTGATTGTAGCAACGTAGCATTTGAAAGATCTTTAGTTCAACCGTTGTTTGTAGTACATACTTTGATAAGAGTTATCGTGAGTGACGCATGAGTATGTCCCCTATAAAAACCAGGCAGGTGGAACACCAAGGACAACACGGCATTCTTAAACTCCAATCTGACATCACTCATATCAGATCTCGATGGTTATTACCACGCCGCTTCAATCAAGGAAGGAAAAAGTCAAAATCTTAGTGACTTCAACTATCCCAATTTATCATCAGCAAGCAGAATGATAAATCTCCTCGATTGTCATTCAAGACAGAGTTTGGGTCTCCACTGATGGTACCTTGAGTACGAATTTCAAGTTTCAAGTCATATTTACCAAGGCCAATGGAATTCAAAAACGTTCACATGTGCTTATATCGCTCCCATCATTTCATCCAATCCCCTATGACATAAAGTCAAAGTTCTTCGCGCCAACTTTGCCATGCTGACATTTTCAAGGCTCCAGTTGTGTGACCTCTCACATATACCCTCGACACCTCGAATTTCAAAATCAACTCTGAGCCAATATTAGATTTATTGAGGCGGCATGGCGCCAAATTGCCTAGTCCTCCCTGAAAATAATTCATAGGTATAAAATTTTCGAAGATGACCCTCACCATACATACTTGCCTCTCCTTGCCTCGGACTATGGTCAACATCTAAGAAGCCATGAGCAGTAGCTCTGGCTTGGAAAAGGGTACTCAAGCCAACCCTTGGCCCTTCTCACTCTCTTGGATCAGTGACTCAGTCTCGGATGTTGCATTCTTTCAGGCCGAAGTCTGAGGACTCCTCTTATTTTCTGACCTCCGTTTAAATTTATACTTAGGTTGACCTTGCCCATGTCTACATAATTTCAGATGAGCCAAAACTGTAGTGGATATATCGTCAACACAGAATTCCAAACTGTCTCAAATAAGAATGATCAAGAGTTGACGATCACATGACACACGTCAATCTGAAGGATCATCAGATCGAGTACAAAGTAGAAAACTTGAAGAATCAAGGCATAAGATAGTGATCATTATGTATCTCAAATACATAAATACATATACACATATATATTGATCCCAAGAACCTAAAACAATGAAAGATACATTCAAGGACAAGTTGCGGTCAAGATTTTATACAAGGGCATCAAGATCCTAGCAAAAAGAGAAATATTTTGTAAGTACATAAACTAGCTTCTCATATAAACAGATAGATACAAACATATCAAATCTAGTTGATAGCCAAGAAAAAAGGACACGAGTATGATAAAGTCAACTATACTCTCACTACAATACCACAACTGGTTAATTGAACTAGATCTTCTCAGTTCAAATCGATTAAAAGATGAGAGTTAAATCTGAGATCGATATGTAAGAAGGGTGTAGATCGGATTTGTAGGATTTTGAAAAAGGTCAAGATGGGTTTTTCTTAAGTAGTTTCGCGTTCACTTCTTTCTGAGATTTTGTCATTTGAATTTATTTTGATACATACTCCTCTTCCAACTTTTACTTGAGTTAAACAAGATCCCCGAGATTGAATGAAGAGATTAAGAATTCGAATTGTTTTGATGAGGGGTGACCACAGAGACATGTGATTTATTTCAAGAACTGGAGATTTATTTGACTTCACGCCAACAGAAGAATTCGAAGAGAGTATATGTAAATTGATTGCTAGCCCGTTTTTGAAGTTTGTGAAATATGAGTCGCTGAGATAAAAGCTTGAAGATGAATCGATAAAGTATGGCGAGAAGGTCCGGCATCACGTATACTTGAAGGATCAGAGTTCAATTCTTTCTTTTCTTTTCGACTGTTGTCATTTAAGATGCGTCAAAGTTTGACCAAGGACTAAGCCTAGCTCGATTTCAGTTTTTCTTCTGTTTGATCACATTCAACTTCGGTTTCAGTTTCTTCAATCTTGCTGTCATTTGGAATATTGTCATCATAATGTGAATAAGTTTGACTTAAAGGACTGAGCCTAGTTTGACGCCCATTTTCATTATGGTTAATCTCTTTCAATTCGATTTTTTGTTTTTTTCTTGGTGGAGGATTTAATGAAATACCAGTTCTTAATTCAATAATACGTCTATGTAATGGTCGAGACCTGATAAATTGGGAAATTTTCAATCCTGATATTAGGCCTTTCAAATTCAATGATGAAGGGATCATAAAACCTACGTTCGAACGATCAATGTAATTTTCTTAAAAGTCAGTCTTGGAGATCAAATTTAGAGATAGTTGGCTTGGAAGCCGAACTATGTAAAAGCTTACCACTGTTGTAACATGCAATTTCCTCTTCAACTTCCGTATCTTCGATTTCAAAAGCTTCGCTTAAATCTACTTCTAGCTGTCAACAGAAAAACTTGTCAAGAGTCAACATAGAGATTTATACAGGGAAGGAGGAGATCAGAAGAGACTTACTTGTTGTGACCAAGATTGTGATTGCGACGGGAAGTCCTCACTGCTGGTAGCAGAATGACTCATCTGAAGTTTCTGTTTCGGTGTCGGTAGTGTTGAATCGTGAAAGCAAGAAATGTCTTCTTCCTCAATTTCCATATCTCCGATTCCAAAAGCTTGGCTTAGATCTACTGGCTAAAAACACGATAACTCAGTGAGAGTCAGTATAGAGACTCATATAGCAGGTTAGAAGCATAGTTGACACTTACTTGTTCTGATAGGGATTGAAATTGTAAAGGGAAGGCTTCTCCGCCAGTAGAAGCAAAGCGTATCATCTGTTTAGTATCGGTCGCGGTTTGGGTGTTGAAATGTGAAAGCAAAAAGGTCACTGAACGGGTATAATAAGCCTTTGAAGGAAGATAATGGATCGATGAAGATGGTTGAAAGGATAATAGAAATTTAAACAGTTAAAGAGTCATCAATGATTTCGATTGTTTTCAATCCGAAGCAAAGGGACTCTGTTTAAACAAACCGTATCTCATCAAATGAAATGAAATCTTGCGCTACTAAACTCACTGAGCCCTTCTTGCGAACACCTTGGCCGCGCCCTCGAATTCCTTGACGATTTAAAATGCACACTCCCTTAAATGCATTTTGAAAAGGTTGTTTTTTTTGACATTCCCCAAGTCCATTCGATCACACAAACTACTCGTATTGATGACTCAAGTTGTAACTAAGGCGATCTGAAGTTGAATGTGACTTTCAGCTTAAAGCTAGAAAACCAGCGATCTTTCGTGAATCGTAGGAAGTATTCTTCAATCCTCTGCCTTGTAAATTGGCTCTCGGTTGACGCCTGAGTCAGGACTTTCATGCAGACTCATCCTGGCTGAACGCCATCGGTACAGAGACATCCCTAAAATCCGCCGGATAACTCACGGCTCGTGAAGTTGTGACTGCCATGTCGCTACGGTCAAAGATAGGCAAGGGATATATCTGTTTGTTTCCCTGAACTGATGTGGTTCTCGTCAGGATAAGGTCCGAAGCATTTGACCCATCGTCTCTCGGAATACTTGAAGTTATCTCTACGATGATTGGTTGACAGAGCTCAATCCAGCCTATAGACTCCTCTCATCAGTCATGAGGGTGCATGTAGTTTTCTCTGACCTACAATGACAAAACAGAGTGAAAAGTTCTCGCAAGACTACACAACTGAAATCAAATCATATCGAATCGTTGGAAAAATATTGAAGATTTCATGCACAGACACAGAAAAGACATCTTATCAATCTCAAGACTGCTATCGAAAAGGATTGACCAATGATCTTATATAGTATGAGACTTCCTTTGCACAAGCTATTGTTGATCATCTAAGGATCACGTCAAGCTCGGCAAACGGTCTCCAAGTTATATAACTTGAGCTTATAATGAGTTACTTCTATAACTACTTTCCCAAAAATTCAAGATTCCAAAAGAATGAACCAAGCGGTTTACAGATCAGCGTCCCGTTCTTCGAACACATGTGTATATACAAATATCCAAGAGAATTTGATAGTCAAGAATGGTGATGACATGATTACAAAAGAAAAACAGATGACCCGGATCAGAAATCGCAGGATTGGTACTTCTTCTTCAACCATTTTGTAAACCGTTTTTCATAGAAGAGTTCCTTAAGGATTCATACGTTGCCTTTTAAATGATGATTGGTCATTCGAATCAATCTCGATTTTCCTCTTCAAACCTTGACTTGTTTTACCATAAAGATGATCTCCAGAATTAGATGAATCCAATAAAGGTGTTCCAAAAAGACTTTGATTACTTTGGTAAGACCTTTCGACAATTGAATTAGCTGGCGAAGGCATCTCGAGAGTCTTGAAAGATACAGGAGGCTTTAAACCCAGCAGATAATTCGGATTTGAACCTCTAAACTGGTTACTAAGGCATTTTTGAGGTATAGAATGTGGGTTATTCATTGAGGTAAAGGCTTCAAGGTTAGCCATCGATAAAGGTGAAGAAGGTCCAGTATCCCGTTCAATTAAACTATCACAGTTCAAATCCCTCTTCTCTCTTTGACTATGATCATCAAGTTGCGAAAAAGCTTGAGTTGAAATTGAATTTGTACTAAGCCAATTTGAATTTGACTTTCGATGATATTTGTTGGTTTTCTGTTTTGTCTTTTGTTTTCGAAGATTCTCATCATGATTTAAAGATTGTGTTTGAGTTGAAGTTGAAGTAACAACTTTAGATCGGTTTCTACTTAATTTACGTTTGATGAATTCGATTCTTTTTTGTTTTTTGATGAATGATGGATTCAATGAAACACCAGATCTTAATTCAAGAATCCGTCTATGTAATGGTCTAGACTTGAGATATCCTATAATTTGTAATCCGAATCTTAAGCCTTTGAATGATGAAGGGATTGTATAAGCTAATTGAATAAAAAATAGGTAAAAGAATCAGTTTCAAAGTTCAAATCTAGAGATGATTAGACATGCAATAAAAGCTTACCAGGGTTACATATGATTTCTACTTCATCTTCTATCTCTTCAATTTCAAACGCTTCACTCAGATTTACCTCTGGCTACAAACACGAAAACGCATCAAGAGTCACTATATAGATTCATAGAGTGAAGTAGCAGAATACAAGAGACTTACTTGCTGTGACAAAGACTGTGATTGTGACGGGACGGCATCCATCCCAGCGAAAGTGGAATGGCTCATCTGAAGTTTTAGTGTCGGTGGTGGTATGGGTAGTATTGAATCGTGAAAGCAAGAGGACAATGACCGTGTATGAATATTAAGCTTCTGAATGCCGATAACGAGAAGAATTGATAAAGATGGTCCAAATGAGAATCGAGCACCCAATGAATAGGATAATAAAAGCTACCTCAATTATATATATTCACATCGAATCGAACCTTTAGCCAAACCCTTGACTTCTTTGCACAAGTTTTTTTTTTGACATCCCTAGGTCTACTTCATCCAATACCCTGATTCCGAAATCATTACTACATCAGGGTCTTGACTGCGTAATCTGGATCTGGAGACTGAGTTATGCGTAACAATGACACGCGAGAAATTTTCAGCTTCAAATTCCACAACTCATCATCTTTTGGAGCACGTACGTATCCTCATATCCTCTGCCTTGGCTCGGTTATCTTCATGCCAAAGCCTGTTCCGTAGACTCATGGCACACAGATTGAACGCCATCGCACAGGATCCCAAAAATTTCGTCCTACGCTAACACAACTCATATCAAGTAGCAGTCGTGAGTGCCACGCCGCTCAGGTCAAAGAAGTCCAAGGTGATTTTTTTTCGTTACTTTAATCAATGTGGCTCTCATCAGCATGAAGTACGATTATCACAGCGCGCTGTAACTGATTGTGTGTTAAAATATACAAACCTACAGGTTTGATTGATTCCTTCATACCCATGATGATTAGTTGACAGATCTCAAAAATGATCATGTGATGCACTGGTATGAACTTCAATGCTCTATCATCATCAAAGTCTCCTTTGACCCCACTTCAAAATTAAAAAGTCCTAAATAGTCATCAAAGTCAATTAAGATCCCATCTTGAAAAAACCAAGTCAAAGATTTCATGCTCACCAAACAAATTCGTTAATTCCAAAACTGTTATTCCAAAACTAGATTAATTTTTTGAACCAAAACATTGAATCACGACATATTTCATATAAACTTACCAATTTTTGATCTTATATAGATTTTTCTTTTGAAAGAAACCTTTATTTAATTTAAGCATCCAGAAAGTCAATCACTATAAAAACAGATACAAATCCGAGCATAAATTAAAGTTTCTATATACATACACTATATCATCATCACATTCAAATACATGAGACCAAAGATCCAAAAGAGAACCAAAGCAAAAGAGACGATGAAGTATAGAGTCAATTTGATTTAAACTTTTCAAGGTAAGATTTTTAAGGTCTATCTTCGATCATCATACAGCGACTGGTAGATTGAATTGGATTTTGTGAATTGAAATCAATTGAATGAGAAGAATGATGATCGTCATATGTAAAAATCGTGGAAATCGGATTCGAAGAACTTTGAAAAGTTTGGAAAACATTATTAGGGTTAAGATCATCAGGATAAATCTTATCACAACTTTGACGTGGCCTTTTCTTGGAGCCTGAGGTATTCTGATTTGAATCAAGTTTGTGTTTTCGTTTCACACCTTTTAATTTCCGTTGAGGAAGATCTCCGAAATTGAATAAAGGAGCTTCAGTAGTCAAGTTGGAACAGGAAGATTTCAAAGATCGATTTGGTTTTGAATGATTCACGGGATTCTTAGACCTTAACCCTTGATCTGGATGAGTCGTCCATTTCTGAGGTTTCGAATATGGATTATTTAAACAAGTAAAAGCTTCAAGATTAAGTACAAACAAAGGCATCGAGTCTTGAGAATCTTCTTCATTTGATGGATCAAGATTGATGGAGATCGGTTGACTTAAAGGACTAAGTCTTGTTTGATTTCTAGTCTTCTTTTCTCTAACCTCTTTAACTTTTGTTTTTTGTTTTTTTCTGTGGGATAGGTTGAATGGGATGCCAGTTCTTAATTCGATTATACGTCGATGGATCGGTGGTGAGAGATCAGCTTTAGGGATTCGGAATTCAAACTTGGTGTTTCTCAATAATGAAGGTAACGTGAAACCTGTTAGAATGAAGAATTTGTTGGTTAAAAGTCAGTTTATCTGATCAGATATAGAGGTAGGAATATCGATAGGAATCTGAAATGCTACATACCACTGTCAGATGTACTTTCTTCCTCAACTTCCATATCGTCAAAGGCAAAAGCATCGGTGATGTCAAACTCTGGCTACAAACACAAAAACCCAGCAAGCGTCGGTAAAGAGGATCTAAAGATCAAAACAAAGTAGTGAAAGAGACTTACTTGTTGTTCTAACAAGAGTGATGGTTGTGAAGAGGAGGCTTCTGGGCCAGTAAGAGCGAATTGACTCATCTAGAGTTCAAGTATCGGTTTGAGGTATGAGTAGTTTGGATAATGAAAGCAAGAAAAGGTCAGTGAACGTGTATGTATGATGATAGTAAACGTTTGAAGTGACGATAATAATAATGATAAGAATCGATAAATCGATCACGAGATTTGATGAACTGTAGAAGATCAGCTATACCTGAATGGTTCTGAATCCGAACCCAGTCATTATATATCCCATATAGAATCCTTTAGTGGTGCTATTCGGTTTTTGACGATTTGAAATGCATTCCTTTAACTTTTTTTGGGGGGAAAACCTTTGACTTTTCTTTGACATAGAACGAACTGGGAATAAGTTGATATGTATAGTTTTCGATGACCGATTTATTTAAATTATTTTCTACAATTTCCCGAGAGTCAAAAACGAACATTAAAGATGAGTCGAAATGCAAGTCAACATATATATGAAAGTGAAGACAATTCCAAAAGCATTGTATAAAAGGAAAACTTACAATTCGACTCTTTCAAAAGTTTTTTGAGATTTTAACCAATCTTATGATCATCAGTTTGTGACTATTCATGAGACAGTCTTCTTGAACGGTTTACAATTTTTAGCTTTTGAAGCGTTGTAGTAATTCTTTTGAGTCCCTTTGATTCTGAATGATAAACAATGTTGGGAGTTGAGGGATTCACCGAAAATAGATGGACATTCAACTTTCACCCTTTCACACTCCAAACACACATCCAAAGTTCAAACGCCGGCTTTCTTTAATCCCCGAACTCCGATTCTGTGTCTGAGAAAGTCGCACCTTGTGTTTCATGAAGGTGTTTCAACATTGCAAAGACTAACTTAACTAAGTCCCACAGTCAGACCCTTTTTCCTCGCGAGCTCGGGGTTCTGGTGAGGGACTTAGGACTAAACGGCCGGGCTTGGTGGTCGAGCAGGACTCCTCAAATTTGAGTTTGGCGTGGAGACTTTTTCACCACCTCAAAAAGTCCCACTTCCTAAACTTACCACTCAATCAACCCCTATTTGATTTTTAACTGGAGATACTTCAAGAAATTCCCAACACATCTGTCTATTCAGAATTTCTTTAACTTTTTCTGAGCATCCACAACAAAGGGCAGATGTTTTTGGAATTTGAAATTTTGTTGGTGGCAGTGACTGTATTTTCAAAACGAAATTTATAATCAAACACGATCCTCTTTCAATGCAAGAAGACTGCCATTTGATCCAGCAGCTGTGGTCAAAGATGAAAGATGTACATTTCATTCTCCAGAAGATTTTGGTCTCCTCAGAAAATCTGTAGCATCCAAACTACAAAAGATAGGCAGCTGTAAAGCTGAACGGGGGTTTTGGGTTCCTGCTTGACCACCAAAAGTATGCGATTAGTCCCAAGTCCCTCTCCAGGGCACCGAGCTTGCAAAGGTAAGAAAGCCCTGCGAGAATTGGGACTTGTGTTAAGTTAGTTGCAAAGATCTTTTTGGACGATGCAAATGTCATTATTGCCTTATTCACCTTTATTCCAACGTACTCTCACCACACCCTTTGATTTGAACGGCCATACACCCATACCATCAACAGTTCTTTCCACAGTCCTACACCCCGCGCTAGGATGGTGCTCCCAACCCTCATTCACAAAAATTATGGCATGGTTAACCCGGCACACCCCTTCTGGTTTCCCGTCTCAATGGACAAGTTGGTCTACATTGTCTAATATCTCCCACTACAATGACCTATAAAAGAACAAGTACAGAGAACAAGTACAGATTCATGGCTAATGTCAATAAGGAAGCTTATTGAGCAAGGAAATAACCGTGTAATAGTTGATATATAACTGTTACAGGTTTATTACATATGATTTAAAGTGTCTTGCATACTTCATCTATTACAAAACGTGGCAAAGAGGCTGATACTGGGAGCCTTCAAAAGCTCACCAACAGATCACATGTATCATGACACAGATGCAATAACATTCAAGGACTTAGCAATCAGATACCACCACAACTACGTATATAAACAATTAACGGCACCATCATCCCACCCATCACGATTAATCCTACAACATGAACTGCTAAGTACCCCAGCCACGCACAAAAGCCCAATACACCGGCTGTTGAGAGAGACTGACATGATTTTACCACATACAAATATTTTGGAGACAATTAACCCGTACCCGGAGCCCCCGTGGATAGAACCAAGATGGACGGTCAAGAATGTGAGAAGCAAACGAGAAGAAGTCAAGGAGAAGATACAGAATCAGATTGATGAAGAGAAGAACATGAAGGCCTGTGTGGTGTTTACGGACGGCTCATTCTTACCCAAAGTAGGAGGAAGTGCAGCCATAGCAATGGATGGAAGGACAGCAAGCCATGCCTATGGACCAGTGGAAGGAATATCCAACTATGAGATGGAGGCTATGGCACTAATGATAGCCTTAGTTCAGTTCAAGCAAATGACTGACACTGATCCTGAAAAATTCACTTCGTTAGCCATCTTCAGTGACAGTCAAGCAGCCCTTGATTTACTAGCCAAACCAATCCAGCCAAGAACCCTACAATACACATCAAGGTTTTTGTTGAAATCATACAACTTGATTCCAATTTGATATCAACTGCAACTATATTGGACGCCAAGACATGAGGGCATAGAACTGAATGAAATAGCGGACCAGGCGGCAAAAGAGGCGACGGAAAGTGAAATGGAGGCACTGATACTCCCAATAAGCTTGGGAGGATTATTACGCCATACGAGAACATTATTTAACAAAAGGGAAGCTGTACCTATTAAACCATACAAAACACAAGGAAGATGGATAGCTGATGCACTTGATAAATTAGAAAAGGGAGAGGCAGCGGCAATCTATCAACTCAGATGCGGTCATTGTCCACTACAAAAATTCTTACACAAAATTGGTGCAGAAGAACACAACAAATGCAGCACCTGTTTTGCAACAGAAACACCGGCACATTTTTTAATATAATGTAGAAAATTCACAAAAGAATGGCAAACATTTAGGAAGAAATAAAAAAAAGACAAAATCAAAATTCACACAAAATCAGCTACAATACTCTTAGAGCACCCACAGGACCCCGGAAAGCTCCTATGGAACCATCCGACGGGAAATGACGAAAAATTGACTGTTTGATACCTCAAAAAAGTTGTTTTTTGAGGCCTTTGATACCAATTTCGTCGGTAACATCCGACGGTTTTTGCCTTGATTTGGGCAGTTTTGCTCCTTTTCCGCTGGTAACATGCTGTATTCCGCGTGTTTACCTCTGTGACATGCCATTTCATACAGATTTGATACCTGTATTGCTATTTTACGTCGGTATGTTGTTACAGCTCTTTTTTGAAAATTGGCCGATTGATACGTATTTCGTCGGTAACTCAGCCAAAATCTCGACCCCCGATTGATACGTTTTTCGTTGGATGGTTCCATAGGGGCTTTCCGGGGTCCTGCACCCACTATCATGACAGTGTTTTATCATAAGTTTTGCGTTCCTGAGCACGAAATTTGATCGTGCGTGTAACAACTAAGATGGTAAACTCCTGAAATCCACTATTAGGCGCTTTACCATATGATTTACGAACGATAAATCACTGTAGATCAACCAGATCCACAGTGGTCTAATTTTGAAATGAATTATCGTATCTTTTTATTAAACTTCATCCAAAATTAAACCGTTTCATCATCACAATGCCTGCTTCGGTGAAAAGTCAGATTGATAGGCTTTTGAGGTCTTCAAATGATGATGAAGAACAGCAAGAATACGACCAAATGGTCTTCGAGTTCTTGTTCAACAAACCTGACACACCGCCTCCACCTCCTCAGACTCGAATCCGAATAGATCGAGATCGAGAAAGCCGTGCCCAGCAACTTTATGATGATTACTTCGCACCTAACGCTAGATACGAGTCAAAATTTGAATGTAGATTTCGCATGAGTAAAGCATTATGTATGAGAATCATTGAGGATCTACAAATACACGATCAATTCTGGATTCAAAAACCAGATGCCTGTGGTGTGATGGGACTCACCGTTTATCAGAAGGTAGTCTGTGCATTAAAACAGCTCACCTTGGGAATTCCGGCGGATGCGACTGATGACTATGTTGGTATTGGGGAAACAACAGCAATATTTACTCTCAAATTGTTCATGAAGCATATAAACGAAATATATGGTCCAGATTACCTTTGACCACCGAATCCTGAGGAGCTCATTTGAATTACAAAAGAATATGAAATACATGGCTTACCTGGTTGTAAAGGAAGCCTTGATGGTATGCATTGGGCTTGGAAGAACTGTCCACTTGCCTGGAGTGGACAGTACGAAGGAAAAGAACACACACCAACTGTAGTTCTTGAAGCAGTCGCCTCCGAAGATCTCACAGTCTGGCATGCATTCTTCGGAACTCCAGGTTCCCTGAACGATATCAACATACTGAATCGTTCTTTCCTTTTCACCGACTTTCTCAAAGGTGAGTCTAGTCAAGTTTTCTTACATTTCATGATCTGACTCATGTTCTTTTTAGGAACCGAGGATGAAGTTCACTTCACGGTCAATGGGAAACTCTACAAGCAAGGTTACTACCTCGGTGATGGAATTTACCCTGACTGGCCAACAAATGTCAAAGCACCACGAGCTCGCCAATCACCTGCAGCAAAACTTTTTGCCGAAGCTCAAGAAGGAGCACGAAAAGACATCAAGCAATGCTTTGGAGTAATTCAAATTCGATTTGGGATAACTCGCATGCCATGTCGAATGTGGTATCTAGTTGACATGCACTCGGCTATGATGTGCTGCATAGTTTTACATAATATGATCATTCAAGATCGAGGTACACTTGATCCTATAATTGAAGCTTACACCTCTCAAACAAGAGTCATTCCAAAATTCCAAGATCCAGTGGTACAAAACACTCTGATGGAATACCTTCAGAATACACTCCGTCTGAGAGATTCACAAGCTCATGCCGAGCTTCAGCACGATCTCAAAATGGATCTCTGGCTGAAGGAAGCAGGTCAATGATGGTGTCTCTTGGTTCAAAAACGAGTTATACTGCATTGCTTTTAATCATACATCTACATAAATATTATACTGACACTATATCTAATTTCTTTGAGGCTTAATAATTGTACTATAATTGTACTTTACATGGTTATGAAAGACTGATAGTGATGTAATGATATGTAATAGCTATTGATATCGCTTAGCAACTTCTTCTTTCAAGCCTCGTAATATCTTCTTTGAAATCTCATCGGGACAGTCTTCCTCCTTCGCACGAGCGATTTCAAGATCCTTGCTTTTAAGCTTGCTTGACATCAAGTTATTTGCGATTCGATTTGATTCTTCGCTAGCATCAGCTCGCCGACTTGCTACAGCAGTGAATGCGGCCATTGCTTCAATTCTGGCTTTATCGTCATGAGACTCTCGCTTTGATTCAATTCGCTGTTTCTTCGCCGCTTTGCCACCGATAGGACGTTCTCTGTCATCGGGTCGAGCATGTGCAGTAGCCAAAGATGTTTCATTTTGAGTCGCTTCTGGAGTTGGATTTGGAAGGATGTCGGAAGGGGGTGGTGGAGGGGGATGATCGCGCTGGTTGATAAGCCGAGTATCCCACTTGGGCTCGTACCGAAGTTTTTGCCAAGCCGCGAGAAACTTGAAGGAGGTTTTCATCTTGGCTTGGTAAACTTTCATCACATCAACAATCCATGTATCAGGTGATGTTCCCGATGGTGGATCATGCTCCAAGCGAGCGTAGATACCGGAAAACTTCTGGGTTGATGGATTCATCGTACGCCATCTGAAAGGTGATTTAAACTTTGAATTTTGATACATTTGATACATTCAACATCTTGTACTACTCACTGATTCTTACACATCTTGCCTGTTCGTTGAGAGTGCGAGTGACCATTGAAATGAGCTGTGATATCATCGAAAAAAGCCTCGCTTGACAAGTTGTTGGAGTGTTTGGGTCAAGTGCTGGTGACAACCCAAGAAATTGCTAGCTGCTTGTGCTCGGCTTCAGTCCAATTACTGCCTCGTTTGGTGGCTGTTGAAGTAGCAGGATCAGGTGGAACAGACATTTCGAATCAGTTGATGGTGGAGGGAAGATTTGAAGTTTCGAAGTTGAAGTGGAAGTTGAAGTGGATGGTTGAAGTTGTGAAGTGTTGAGGCTTCGAAGCGTCGAAGAAACCGAAGTCAATTGACCTGGTTGACCGATTCCATGCGTCAAATTGTAAGATAACGCTTGATTTAGCCTTGCGTAGATTTAGACAACCCTGATGCATCATTTGACGCATTCACAGGGAGCGCAACTGTAAAACAGGTCCATAGTGGACCTCAACATAATTTAGCGTTAAAGTAACGCTAAATCACGTTGTTAGAGCAACCATAGTGGGTGCTCTTAGAGCACCCACTATGGTGGGAGTGTTTTATCGTAAAGTTTGCGTTCCTGAGCGCGAAGTTTGATCATGCGTGTTTTACCAAAGTTGGTAACCGCGTGAAATCCACTATGGGATGATTTATCGTCTGCTTTCCCTAGTTCCTACGATAAATCAAGTCGTAGGCTTGCGTAAATCTGAGCACACGAAGTGCAAGACTTGACGCAGCCGTACGGACCGCAGGTCTAAAACAGGTCCATAGTGGACATGTTGGTATTTTAGCGTTAGGGTAACGCTAAATCACCGAGTTAACGCAACCATAGTGGGTGCTCTTAGATACCCCCAAAAATTACCCATACCTAGCGCAATACATTCATCTGACAGGAAGATTTCTTCACATCAAAACATATTTAGATGATTAAACTCAGATTGTTGTTGTTTTCAATTTCTATCACAGTGTCATTTTACTAGACACTGGCAGGCCAGTGAGTACGGCCTCTTCAATCCAATTTCAATCCAATTCAAATCCAATTCAAGTTCAATTCAAGTTCAACATCAATCCAATATCAATGTATGATCTAGAGTAATAGACAAACAGTCTTCCAAACTCAACTGAAATTAAGTTTAGTTGCATGTCCACGTATGAAGGTGTCAGAACTTCTGGAAGGTATGAGTAATTGTCAGATAAACCACAATTATTATGTCAACTGCCCTTCTGAGCCTCATCAAAAAACTTCTCCTTCAAAACAGAGTTTGTAAATATCACCCAATGAACAACTTGAGAGTTCCCCAAGCCATAACTCAGCAAAGATTGTGTAAAAACATTATTCAGGGTTACAAAAGCCTTCATGTTTGAAACTCCCCAACTCATTCAACTACCAAGGAGAGGTGAGTTGTGGTATCTGGCTATTGGATAGGTACAAGGGGTTTTGTTTGTTCTTTTCTAGTATAAACATATATATATATATATATAAGCAGTACACATACATACAACCCATCACAAAAACCCATGTGAAAACACATGAAAACCCGCCAGAATTTTGGTTATTTGGCAGGTACCCATTATCATGACTCTTTTTTGGGAAGGGATATTTATATACTTCTAAATATTATTATCACCATTATATTAAATGGAGAAAGACAGAAAAAAGGGGGTGATCAGGTGGTCATCTTTGGTTTTGTGATTCAAATTTATTCATCTGTTATATTGATATCTTGTTGCATTTTTCAGCTGATATGGTTGCTCATTTTGTTTTTGTTGTTGTTTATTTACAAAGGTCATTTTTATGTACTCAGATATCTTTTTGGTTCTTTCTTTTGTGAAGTACTTACTCTCTTTTTTAGGCAAGAGGTGCTTTTTTAGTTTGGAAAAGCTTGATGTTTTCACTTTGAACGATGATGATTTCAAACTGCAAGAGAAATTATATGTGTACATCAGCTGAAGTCTGAAATCCAAAATTTTTGAGTGCCTTGAGCAAGGACTTTTCTAAAACGGGTCCAATCTGACAGGGTAATGGGGCCAAACCCGGATGCCTATTCTCAGACGGGGCCGCCAAGTCGCGTCTTGGCAACCCCAAATGATGTCACAGAAAGCAACTAAGTAGATTGAATAAATGCTATTCAGGTCTGGCTACAAATGAAGTCAAGAAACTAATCAAGGCTGTTCTAATTCCAAGAATCTTATATGGTAGTATTGTATGGCTAACAAACAAAACGTACAAAAAAGCTAACAAGTTATTAGAGACCGTACAGAACCACGCAAACAGAATTGCAATCGGAGCTTTCAGAGGCACATCCAACAAAATGATCACCCACGACTCGTACTTACCACCTTTCTCATGGACAGCAGCCCAGAGAAACCACAATTTTCTCCTGAAAAGGCTATCGGCACCGGATACACACCCAACCCGCAGCTTTATTGAACACGACCTACTCACAACACACAAACCGGCCCGTAGTGAAGTGCACTACGGCCTCGGCGACGGTACGATGAGGTTTAATTTCTAAACCTCACCGTAACCGTAGTGTAGTCAATAATACTACTAGCTCAAACCCATCACTACGGTACGGTCAGCCTGTAGCGGATGAGTAGTACTCACCAGCCCAAAGACCCATCCAGGTCCAATTCAAGACATCATAAAGTTTGATGAATTCAAAAAGATAGCACAAGAAGACATCAAGATAATATATGCTCACCCCATTGCACCCTGGGTAGATAACATAGGTACACTGACAAACTTTGATCTAGATAAAGATAAAGCAGTTGAACTCATCCCGACCCAGATTGAGGAAGAAGAAAATCTCAGGAAGGCACTAGTGATCTTCACAGATGGATCGGTAAAGGAAGAAGGCGGAGGCGCGGCCGCGGTCTCTAAAGATCTCAGCCAAGCGCAATCGATAAACCATGCTAACAATTTTTCAAATCACAAAACTGAACTCCTAGGTATACTTCTAGCAGCTGAACTGGCAAACAACATAGCAAAAACCCAACGCCCTCCCCCGTTAGGACTCGCCATTTTTTGCGACAATCAAGCAGCACTAAAGCTCTCCCACGAGATACCAAAACAAGCGTCAGGCCAACATCTCCAAATCAAAATATGCACGCTATTAAGACAATTACCGATGAGAGACAGAATAAATTTCTACTGGACCCCTGGACACAAAGGGGTAGAATTAAATGAACTAGCTGACCAAGTAGCGGGTAATGCCGCGGAGAGACTAACCAATCCCATTAATCTCCCAACCAGGCTAGGAAGCATAAAACGACGTACAAAAGAAAATTTCAGTATCACGAATTTCCCATTTAAACCAGGAAAGAATTTGTTCAGTACAAAACCAAAGCGCATATCAAAAGGCCTAGCTACACTTGAGAAAGGCGGTACAGCAGCCATATTACAACTTAGAGCAGGATTCAGCCCGTTGAACGACCACCTTTTCAAAAGAAACTTATCAGACTCCCCCCTCTGCGACAAATGTGGCATAAAAGAAAATACTCACCACTTTCTGTTGTTTTGTAGCAGATACTCCAAAAATAGAAAACAAATGAGGAACGAACTCAAAGAAAACAAGATCAAAGTGGATTGGAACGACTCCAAGAAACCACCTGTGTCACCTGCAACAAGTGACATGTAAGTCGAAAGTAAAACGTGTAACATAATCGACTGAAAGCCGGATTTTGGCCCCAGCGCAGCTCAGATGATCTGGTGCACTACTTCAGGACACTACAAGTCATTTTTTTAGCAAGTCAAACACTTGCTCACTTTTTTTTAGCAATACACAAGGTAGTATGCACTTATATTTCACATTTATTTCATCCAAAACTACACCATGAGGTTTAAGTCACAACGCAGAGCACTCAGATCACTCAGAGCGATCTGAGAGCCTGTCAGAGCGATCTGAGAGCCTCTCAGAGCGATCTGAGTGCCTCTCAGATCGCTCTGGGGGACTTCGAGATTCTGCTTCAAGTTCAACCTCCCTGTATGTAGCTCAGCTTTGGAGGTTCTCCTGCTCCCACCTCCCTGTATGTAGGTCATCCATCACATCCAACCGCTATACTGTACTTCTTCAATACAAGTTCAATCTGTGCAATCATAGTCCTGGAAATCAACTACATAAATCCACCGTATTAGACCGAATTACAAAGTCAAGTGTAAACTTCACAATAAACAATAGAACTGCAATATGTACGATCCAATGTAAGTCACAACTCAATTGAATTTTGATTTCAACCGTATAATCACAATACAATACAACGTAACAGATTGAACCTCAAATGACAGATCCACTCTCAAGCAACTTGCTTTATTCGATGTCTCTTTTTTGAAGGCAATAGGTAAAACTCACATCAACATGTCATTTGTCTCTTTCATATGAATATAATCAAGTGTGTACGTAGATATCAAATCAATAGTTTGCGTGTCTTGTCTCGTTTCAAAACGATGTAATAAAATCGGTAGAACCGGCAGATACAAAGTACACAAAAAATGAAAATAACGCTTTACTTTTCTCAAAATTTGTAAGAAAAGTAGTAACCTACAATCTGTAGAACAAGAACAAAAAAACAAAAAAAGAGCAAAGCACTTTTCGTTGACATCAAGATTTATCGTTACGTAGAAAACTAATCTGAGTCTTCAGAGTCTTCATCTTCATTGGAGTGTTCATCATCATTCAAGTCTTCATCTTTATTGAAGTCTTCATCTTCATCAGATTCTTCATCCTCACTAGAGTCTTCATCTTCATTAACCCCATGTTGCTGTTTAGAACTCGCATTACCTTTACCTTTAGCCAAAGTTTCAAGTTTCTTTCTGATACTTCCATTTGTTTTTTTTTGAGTTTGTTGGTCTTGCTTCACAGTTGGATTTTGACGGTGTTTTTTGCGTTTATTCGATTGGCCTTGATCTACCCCAGAGGAGTGTTGTTGATCACGCTTTTTGGCTTGATTTTGATTAGGGGCAGGTCCATCGTTGGAATCGTCTTGTAAATGTTCGGATTCTGGGATTGGTTCAATAATGAACCTCTTGTTTTCAATATCGTCCAGCCAGCACTTGACTACTGCGTCCCTAGCATCACGATGGCCTTTCTCCATATCCGATTTCTTGAGAAGACTGCCTTCGCGCTGTATTATTCGGATTGGCCAACCCTTGTTCTTAATTTCGGCCTCGGGGTCTTTCTTCTTTGGGAAGATGCACTTTGGCATATGGGCATCTACCAAAAAACGAAAAAAAAAAACATCCATAAAAATGAAAACAGTAACAATTAGCAGGCTATTGAATTGGACAAACAACAGACAATTCAAGACTGACCAACTAATTCATTCAAAATCCTGCTCAGTCTAGTTCTACGTTCATCACTCGGTTGCTGTACCTTGCTGCCTTCAATTACTTCGGCAGCTTTTTTCCCATGGACGTATGAAGCAAGATTTCCGGGTATCTTCATATCGGTTGAGGCCCATTTTGCAAACATTGTGTTATTTGAATAAGTCTGAGACCAACCCTCGGTGTCTCCGCAGCTGACAGCTGTGGCATAGTAGGTGATCTGGTAACGCTGACAGACGACAGAGAACTGTTCAAAGGTGTTATTAACTATTGTCAGTAATGACAGTAAAGAAAAGAACGACAAGATCAAATGTAGAGAGAAAAGAATGAGAAACAATGAGACTCACATCATGATGTGCTTTTTTCAAGGCCGCTAATGAGTTCTTTTGAAGTGTAGCAATTGACTGAGTAGGTTCAGGCTTTCCGTGACATAAGTGAAGCTTCTCCACATCCACGAGTCTCTTGAAAATAGGCTGATACTTTAATTTCTCAGCTTCGGTGAGTGGATGGACCTGAGGAGCTACCGTTGAGCCATCGATATGAGTAAAGGTGGGATTGTCGTTATCTTCCAAGTCGGTATCGTCAATGGTAGCAGGTAGATTAGATAGATCGGGTAGGTTAGCCAAAGCGAAGAAGTACGGATTTCGAAATACATCTTTCTCATCATTGTTGAGGCCTTTCCAGAGGTTTGCAACCTTACGGTTCCGAGCGGCCCATCCAGATGAGTCCCCTTTCTCGGGTACTGTTTGTTATCATTATTCAATTGCTACTTAGCCTAACTTGAGAGGAAATTAACAAAAATTGAATCACATACATGTTTCTTCCAAAGCCAGAACCCCAAAAGCTAGGAATCGAATCCAGGGATTGAAATGAGCCTTTTTAGCTCCTTCACCCCTATATCACATGCAAAGGAAGCAAAACAAATGTATGTATAAGAATTAGAATAAAATTTTCAATTGATTTCGTAACTTACACAAGGTTCCAGACCACCACCTCATGAAGACCTCCCATCAAAGCCGCCATGAGCATCTGCTTCTCGTAATTTAAGCGGATGCTCTTTACTAATGCTTTAATCTCAGTTGATGCCCTAGTTCCCTTTGGAGCTTGTTTTGAATTTGCTTCACGGAGTCCCACCAGAGTCCACTCATCGAGATGCTCATGAAACGTTTCGAGGTCCAATCCGGGAAAGCGCGAGACGAAAGTCTTGGGTTGTTTCGATGGCGGTGCTTCTTCTTCATTACGAGGTGGTTGACCTTCTTCGAGATTGGCAAGATTACGATTCTCATCATCATCATTTTGTAAAGTAACTTCGTTGTTGGTTCCATCGAGAGTATCGATATTGTTTGATGGGTTTGAGGGAGCATGTGTGTTGGTACCTTGACGACGTGACTTACTGGTTTTGGTGGGTTGTTTTGCGGGAGCTTTGGGTACTTTGCTGGCAGCTGTTCGAGTAGACCGGCTTGAGGTTGGGTTAGATCGAGTTGATCGAGTGTTTGTAGGCATCTCTTGATCGACAGAGGAGGCAAAACTGGATAGAAGTTGATGGATAAGGTGGTTCAGGATGATTTGATGGAGGTTTCAATTGTTAAATAAAATTCAATTTGTATACTACAGATTGGGTGAATGTATTTAAAACTGTTTCGAAAACGTCGTAATTTTATATTCTTTTTGAACTGTATCTTTCAATGTCTCTGTATACGGACCTTTACCTTAGCTCCTTTCGGTGTGGCAGTTCCGCTTGATGGGCATTCGACTTGATTCATACAATAGAATCAGTCACTAATGAGTCAGGAAGCGGGGGAAGTGATGACCAAGGTAAAGAGAAGTCAAACTACCAAATTAGATTTTGCTAAAAGAATTAAACAACACTCACATCATGATCATGATCCTCAATGATCATGAGGTGAGTGTTGATTAACTTCTATATGTTTTCAACAGGTGCCAAGACGTGAGATTCAGTAAGTTCAAATGAGGTTTAACTGTTGTGATTAATATAACTGAAGAAAAAATAGAAGAAAAGATGATCAGTTTTTGATTTTTTGAAATCAAAATAGTTGCATGTAAGGTCAAATTTATGGAGAATCTTGAATGGGTACGATATGAAAACAGCTGCCTTTAAATTCTTTAAAGGTGTAAAACCATGTTTAAAATTTGCATTGTCTACTTCAACATATTTTGAAGTATTTGGCATTCAAGCCGTTAATTGTTTTGATTTTTTGCAATCGAAATAGTTGCATGTAAGGTCAAATTTATGGAGTATCTTGAATGGGTAAGATATGAAAACAGCTGCCTTTAAATTCTTTAAAGGTGTAAAACAATGTTTAAAATTTGCATTGTCTACTTCAACATATTTTGAAGTATTTGGCATTCAAGCCGTTAATTGTACTCTTTCTATCAATCATGTGTTCATATTTGTTAGGAAGAACACAATTGAAAAGCTTCCTATCTTATCCGACAACACACAATAGATATTTGAAACATTTATACGTGTCTTACTGATCTCCTGCATGAATATATTGTTAAACTCGCTGTTTGTGTGGGTTTAGAAAATTACAGACAGTCAAAGGAAACAAGGAGAGGTTCTCTTGGGCAATGCTGAAGTTAGGAAAGAATTACCCAAAAGGTATTTTAGGTCATAAATCCCGTCTAGGAACGTGGTGTTTTTATTGAAAGATAAACAAGGAACAGAGAAAATACCTGACTTTACTGATAGAGGAAATCCAAAGAAACAAATTATTTGTTTTAATAACTTAGTTTCATATAGTGCGGAGTGTAACTGGCCCTATTAAATCAATTTGATATGACTTGTTTCCTATGATCAATTGAGGCTGGGTGAAAGGATTTTAAAAAACCCCTAAGTAACGGGTATATTCCAGTATCCCCTCCCTACTATTCCGCTATCTGTGTTGTGCAACTTTATTTGTCCTCTGTATAAACTCAATTCATCCCACTACTACTCCTTCATACGTCGTTTGTCATGGTATTACCTGGCGAAGAAATCAAAAATAGGATCAAATCTACCAAATCCAAACCCCGCAATCAAGGTGTTGCTAGTCAGAGGCTCGCTGATGCTCAAAAGCGCGAGGAACTAGCCGCAGAAGCTGCCCTATTGCGACTCAGGCAACCTCCACTTAATGCTGCCGAAGTGAACGCACAGCCAGTTGACCAGGAGCAGCCTCCAAGCCCCGACCGATACAAAGCGTTCCAAAGGGCTGACGAATTTGAATCAGACGACGATCCCCCCGATCCACCTCCAGCCAATGCAAAAGAATACTACAGAGGTGCAACTTACCAGGAACGGACATTGCGAGAAGAGGCCGCATGGCGACTAGTGATACCCAAGCTGTTTGCAGCTTTCATGCCCTGTAGAAAAGATACGTATCAATGGGGTCATCCCACTCTATGGAACCACGACTGGAACCAGCCCTGTCAATGCCGTGAGTGGGAGAAGGAAGAGATACTTGTGGATGCTATTGATCTCACAGGTAAGATATATTACACATATCAATTGAATCTAACTGACAATCAGCGCTTTGCATATTAATGGAACCATTGATATAAAGGTCGACTTAAGCTGCGAATGATAACTTGTAAATGTACTTCTGACTTAGTACGTCTTGTTCGGATGGGATACATCGGAGGGTCCCCAAGCAGACCTCGTACGGCTTTCTCATGTCGAATGTTACGATACCATCACACATTATGGAAGTATACAAGTGTACGGTTGACACCTTTTGCTGAGGCACTTGACAAGTTCCTAGATGCTTGTAATGTACTATTATTGGTTCGAGACAGCAATCAGGTAAGCTTTGATCATGTTGAACCCTTTACAACATTAGATAGTATTTGTGACTAACTTGGTCAATGCATTGATAGGCTCGAGATTGGCGCAAAAGGTTGTCTGCTGCTGTTGATGCTTACAGAGAGATGATCCGTTTGGAAGATAGGCTCGCCACTCGAGCCCTTCAATTGTCACCGATTGAAGAACTCGCCTCAAATTTCCCCAGTTGCTTTGGTCCTACGGTGCCAGGAGCACGAGATGACGAACCAAATCATTACATATGCTTAGATGCAAATTTTCAGCAGCGTCGTCACCTGTCTGCGAGTGCTTCTTGGCGAGGCGAAACTGGTGTTTTACCTTCGCTCTTCATCTCACCAGCAGAAGTTTCGGTATGGAAAGAAAAGATGGCTCCTCCTGCGCAACAACCCAATCGAGGTAATCCTAATCAACCAGCCAATGATGTTATTGTGAGTACTGATATTTGTACACACTCATTTTGGAAGATATACTTACTTTACCTTTGAGTTGACTGGTTTTAGGACCCTTGCAGCAGCAGTCATACTGCTGCCAACGATACAAGAGGACACCAAACATGGCGTGGGTCTGATGAAACCGGTTTGATGGGGATGGCGTGTCGCCACGATCATCTCCTCAAATTCATAAACCTGGTACAGTCAGGAGAACGGTAAATTCCATATATCCAGCCTTCTATTTGGAACAATGCTGATACAGTACAGTCCTCGGTTCAGGGGCTACTATCCTGTGGCAATGCTGGACTGGATACTCCGCAAAACCACGAGGCCTAACAAAGATGCTCCAAGGTTTGGTATCTTATACGATATCGGATGCAACATGGAAAAGGGTATTATCAAGGTACGTGAATAAACTTTGACAAAAATGAAACCAGTTGACATTCAATTGCCAAATTTCTACCATTGATTAAATAATCACTACCATTGATCAAATAAAGGGAAAACTATTTGAAAACGAACGGGCTGCTGGGAAACTAAAGTTTGGAACCAGTGTGTTCCATTCTTACGTTCATCAGTGGGCTTGCCAACTCAAGTACAATCCCAGGCTGAATGAAGGCTGGGGTCTTTCGGATGGCGAGGGTTTGGAGCGGATTTGGTCCGATCTTTCCTCATTAGTATCAGCCCTGAGGTATTCGACTAAAACGCACAGACTTTGTGCATTACAACTTCGAGCCCGCCACAGTAATATGATGAAACGGAAGCACTCCAGTACGGTATTGATTGCTGATATCAATAAGCGTTAGGGATGTTTATATACTGATATTGAATTAAACACAGTTCGATGGTTGATGAAAAGATTAACAACAAGTGAAAAGTTACATCGTGAAAGTCGAACAAAGTTGATTTTATTAAGAAACAAAAACGCAAGATACACCGAGGAGTATTTGAAAACGCAATGGAACCGTCAACGGGACTGTCAATTAAGAGCAATCAACGAAGATTCACAATCATTGGTCAACATGCTATCTCGCTTGGTAGATCTGGAGGAAGACCTTTGAAAGGCCGAGTTAAGCTGAAGTCATGATACCACCACATTCAGACTACTTACTGACCTCTTCTGTCTTCTGTTGTTTCAGGAACGAACTTCAAAAAATTCGTGCAAAACAGCCTCGTAATCGTACAGCGTCGGAGCAACGCAAATTGACTCATCTACCTGTGACAGTACAGATAATCGAGGAAGAGATCAATGAACTGGCAGGAGAGCTGGGTGGGGACCATTATCGAGACATACCCGGTGCAAGAAGTACCTTTTGTTCTCCCATCATCTCATAGTTTTCAAAACTCAAAATGACATATGATGTCTTTTCAGCTCCAAAGGGGTGTAGGCTAATAAGAATACGAGTGGGGAAGTCTAAGCTATATGGTGCTATGGTAGACGTGTATGAGATGCAAATTAGGAACGATCAACGGGCAGGTATATAGATTTTACAGATGTAATCAATTATTGCATATTTTGATGCTTAACATCTGTTATCTACCCAATAGGAACTCGAATGCAACAGAGAACTAAGAAGCTATTGAGAGATAAACAAGCTGCTTTGAAAACTAAATACGCTACATACAAAACCAACGTCGATAAATTCAATACTGAATTTCCTTCCCAAAATCCATTACCATGCCCGCCCTTTGAAGATGTAAAAAATATGTCACTGGCTGACCCGTTTTGGGACATTGGTCAGCTGACTCATCCCAACGAACCTTGGGCTGTGGATCGAGATACGCGGGACGGAATTCAGGCATACCTAGATATGACACATGCACATGACGAAGTTCGACGTGTTGGGCGAGAGGTTAGGCATTCGATCAACTGGGCATTGCAAATGCAAGAGAAGCTGTCAGTTTTGGAAACCGCTCTTATGCTTGATGGTATGTTTGATTGATCAGCTATATATCATACGTAGAATCTCACTTTGTATGATCCTACCCCAGATGATGAACCAACCACGATTGCCAACCAATGGATTGTTGAGGTAGCTGGGTTGCCAACAATGCCTATACCTGAACGTTTGAAAACAAGTAAATCTGTCCTAAAGGCCCTGTATGGCCATCTCAGTCAAGAGTACGCCAGAATGTGGATGGTATGGAACTGGAAGATGACTGACCTAGTAATCAAGACAAAAAAATACAGTGTCCTTTCTGAAGAAGATGAGTTATCGTTCAGGATGCGTTGGACAGCTTTGGTGGCGGGAAGTAGACAAACGTGGAAACGAGCTACGCAAGCTGAAATCATTGAAGCAAATCCACTAGACGATGAGGAGGAAGCTGAACTTGAATTAGAATTAGAGTCATATGAAGATAGCGAAGTTGATTTTGGTGAAGTCGAGGAAGATGAGATTGATATTGATCCCAATTAAGTCGGAACTGCGGACCTTCGTGTCGAGATTGTATATGTCAAGTGGAGAGGTAGTCATATGTTGTTCAGGTTTTAAATCGTAAATTAGATCGGATCGTAAGGTGTTTGCATGGTTGGGTTGTGAAGCTCACACTTGAATTTGTAATACAATTGATGTCCAGGTCTACAATCGAACTTGCATGTCTATGCAAGTTACAGTTGAGTCGTTAGACAATTTGAGAGAGAGATGAGGATAGGCTGAGCTGGTGGCTGAGCTACATACAGGGAGGTTGAACTTGAAGCAGAATCCAAGTCCCCCAGAGCGATCTGAGAGGCTCTCAGATCGCTCTGAAAGGCTCTCAGAGCACTCAGATCGCTCTGAGAGGCTCTCAGATCGCTCTGAGTGATCTGAGTGCTCTGCGTTGTGACTTAAACCTCATGGTGTAGTTTTGGATGAAATAAATGTGAAATATAAGTGCATACTACCTTGTGTATTGCTAAAAAAAAAGTGAGCAAGTGTTTGACTTGCTAAAAAAATGACTTGTAGTGTCCTGAAGTAGTGCACCAGATCATCTGAGCTGCGCTGGGGCCAAAATCCGGCTTTCAGTCGATTATGTTACACGTTCTACTTTCGACTTACATGTCACTTGTTGCAGGTGACACAGGTGCAAGAAACTACTGGACACGCCGGAAGCTTTTCCTTACATCGCCGATTTTATCTTAAAAACCAAATGTTTCTCTCATTTTCATTCTTATACAAAGGACCAAAACCAACGGAAACAGCCGCAGGACCTGGGAAGGCGTTGTCAAAAAGAATAGTTGTCTCACGGATAGATATCCGATTCATCACCATCTGTTAAATCCCAATATAGGGTCCGAATGAAATTCATTCGAAGCAGAACCAAGAAATTCGTGACGACTTGTCCAATCCCAGAAAAGGGTTTGGGTGTATCAACACTCAAGGCAGACTGTACACATGCATAGCTCAACACCAACTTGTGTGGTTAACGTCCAGAATTTCGGTACGGTTTCATCACTGTTCCTCACGCCCAAAAAGCACTCTCTTCCTCCCCCGTGACTCCGGTTGACGCTAGGATAGGGGGTTGGAGAGGAGGATCAAATGCCTGCTCAGCTCTGTGGAGTCCCCCAAGAAGTTTGAGTCTATATGACTCTGTACTTACGCTGAATTCCTAACGGGCGTGCTTGCACAAAGGCGTTTACAGAGGATCACCGCTTTCCTTTGGGTGTGCTAAATGCATAAAGGTGATTTTCCAAAATAAAGAAGATGAAAATCTTCATTCATATTAGAAAAACAAAGTTTTTTCATAACTCGAGCAACTTATTCAAACAAAAGACAACAATTTCCCAGTCTTGATAAATGGCCGTCTTCCATAAGGTTGTAATATCCTATCATATTGTAACATGTTTAGATAGTGTTTTATGCAAAAATGCGATTATGCACTTTAAAAAAAAAAAAAAAAAAAAAGTGATAAACAAACAAACAACCCTTACGTTGATCGATTCCTCACATCCACTTCTATACTCCATTACCACACTCCTGACTCACTTACCACTTTGATCAACCTCTCTCCCATTAACAGCCTCGGTGATCAATCCATCCAAAAAGCTTGTGAAAAACTTTTAACCCCACAACTTTTCACGAGCTCAACAGTACCATGGCTTTATCGTGAGTAGATAGATTGTCTCATATACTCTATACCTGATAATCTTATCAATAACTTTTATCATCTTCATCATGAACAACACTTTACTCAAGTTCTTATCACTTTTCAATTGTTCAATCTTTAGTTTCTTATATATGTAAATCAAATCACCAACAACCTATCACCTATCAATCAATCAACTCTCATATGGTGATTCATCCATTAATTAAAATCACTCCAATACAATATGAACCCTCAATTAATTCATTCCATAAAATAACATCAACATCAACATCATCAAGATCAACTCCATCACTATTACCTTCATCACCATTACCTTCATCACCATTACCTACATGTCCAACAACAACATTCATCAAATTGACTGATTCAACAAACTCAAAATCACAATTGATTCATAAAACTCAAGATGAAAAAGAAGAGCTGAATGGGTTCAAAACTGATCAAGATTTCATCAATCATATTATTCATGCTGATGATCATAATCAATGAGAACTGTTTCTTATTTTGGACAGGGATCTGATCCATTCTAGATTCACTTGTACATCCTTGCTCACCTTCTCTTAAGTCTTAATCATCTTTGCATTTATTTCTTTTCTTTTGTTTACCTTTTTTTGGTAGATTGGTTGATAAGTGTAAACCTGATGAACATTGTAGGGCTTTATAGAGAACCAAACCAAATTAAGTCATGCATCATCACCATTGCTTCTTTTTGATGTTTTTCCTAAACAGAGTTCTTTTCTTTCAACTGGACTCAAAACTTTGAAGCTTCAAAAAGTTGATCAAATATTATTCATTTCAATGATCAAAAAATCATATGATTATAACAAAACCTCAAAAATATCTCAAATCAATTCATCAAAACTACATAGATTTTTGATTAAATGGGATAAACTTGAAATCAAAGATCAATCATCTTCTAGTAGTTTGCTTGAGATTTCATTAAACCTTCAAAGGTTTATGAAACATATGTATATGTATAATTGTATTGTGGAGAATATAATATTTTATTGTTCTGTCCTTTTATATTATCTTATTTGCATAGTTGCAAGTTTTCTGAATGTGATTGTAGTTTGTCCAGTACTTCATGTGATAAATATACATGTGTTATATCACTTGTTGATAATTGAAGACAGATCTCCAGCTGCTTAACATCAGTTCTAGAACTGGAAAAGCTAGCCTGATCCAGAGCAATTTGGCTTTGAGTGACAGATGTCTTTTTGGTTGATACTTGGGGTTTCCACTGTTCTGAAGCAGTTGAAAAACCGTTTCTCAAAAATATGGGTTTGACCTGGTCAAGTTCTTTTTGTTAAGTGTGTCCTGGATCCTAACCAGCTAAAATTATGTTAGATGGCTTTGAATTGAAATGATCATACAAGTCCATAATTTGTTGATGGAGAGCATCAAAGAGTACCTCATAAGTTCAAACTGTACTGCATAGGAAGTTTTCAGAATGGAGTATCTACCATACTGAGCAATTAAAAGGAAGCCACCGGAAGATTTGGGAGGATCAATTTTCATCCTCAGCTGTACTGTTAAACTAGCTCCATACGGATCTTCCAGTATAGGCAGCTCATGCATATCCCCCTCCCAAACTGAATTTGAAGTCAATCTGAAGTTGGACTTGAATTGAATCTGAATTGGATTTGAATTGAATTGAGGTGAATCGTACTCACTGGCCTGCCAGTGTCTAGTAAAATGTCACTGTGTATGCAGTTTTATTTCCAGTTGTTCTTTTCTTTTTTAGTTTTTCTTCTTTTCATGTTTTCCAACCTATGTCATCTTTCCTTTTCTTAAGCACATTGTGTCTAGTGCAAAGGCTCAATAGTCCATCACACAAGAAAGTTCAGAAGAAGGTGTAGGATTGGTAGATTTACTTTAAACACACATAGTTAGTTAGTGCAATATGTGAAATCAAAAGCACTTAAAAAAATAAAAAAAATAAAATAAAATGTAGGACAGCAGTTCACAAGAGTAATCAAGAGGGAAATAGCAGAATATAGACCAGATCTGTGGATACTAACTGTAAAAGGGCTTTTGGAGGTTGACATGGACGTATTGATTGGTTTATACAGCTTTGTCAACTTGATTGGTTATTCTAAAGGATGAGGAATGAAAGAAATAAGACAAAAGCAAGGGTTTATATACCCATCAGAACAAGAAGAAAGCGCACAGCAACATAATAATAAACAATAAGGAGGCTAATGTGAACCAACATCTGAAGCGCACCGCTTCAATCCGCTTTCCGGTGTTTTTTTTGCAGCAGGACAATATTCCGCTTCAAAGGCAACCCACTATCGATCCACTGTGAAAGATCACCCGCTACATAGCTTGTGTAGCACAGCAGCTCTGATAGCCGCTCTTGCTCCACTATGACAAATTCCAAGCAAAGGAAGCGGTCCAAGGCGGTAATTATTCACAATTTTTTTTCAAGTATTCACAATGCAACATAAGGGTATGTACAAGTTTGACAAAAAGAAAGAATCAAACTAAAGGGAATATAAATGAGTGACTTGAAATTTTAAGACACAACAAAACAGTAAGAAAGAAAGCAGAACATTGGGAAAAAGAAAAAAAAAGTAGAATCATGATTTATAACCATGTACTACAAAACCACAAAAGTTGATAAGCAATCAAATAGAATAAGAAATAAGAAACAGGAAGAAAAAGTGAAATAAGAGAGACCAACCCCAAGCCTAAGGAGTGACAAAGGATAATAAGCAATGAGAAAAACAAGGACGAGTATGTATAAAAAGATTCAAGAAAAAAAAAACAAAAGATAAGACTAATAAAACAAAAGGAAAACATTTGAATTGACTTCATTTTTGTGTGTGGCTTGCAAATGAGGAATCTATCCCACAAGGACGGTAATGAACCTGATGATGAGTTCTATGTTGGTGTCAAGACAGTTGCAACATTATTGCTATCTCAACCTGATCTTTCCAAAGATATTTGAGACACCATCATGTCAGGATACATCACCAAGCCTTTCTGTCAAGATCTTTGCAAGTATTACCTCTGAGGGAAGATAGCACAGAAGAAGATGGTGTTTGATTCATTGATGGACACCTAGTGATCCCAAACAACAAAACTCTCTGAGCCAATCTTATACTCAAGTCTCACTGTTGCTTAGGTCACCTGGGGTTTAAGAAAACAATCAGCAGCCTCCACAAGGATTAACCAACCATAAATATATCTTAAGATGTGTTTCCTGGATTTTTTTCACATTTTTTCATGTTTTTGATTTTTGCACAGTGAAAGGCCGCGCCTGTTCTTCACAAACATGCGCCAGGCCAGGCCCCCATCCTGAGTGAAGGAGCTTTGTTAAGCTTTTAGGGCTTCTTCTCAGCTCCACTAAGTCCCCCTGGGCTTTACAAACCAAACCGTACCTCATGGCTGGTTCTCTCAAGGTATTTTACAGTGATTTAAGAAACCCTTACCATAATTCTTGTCCACAAAACTCTAGTGAATTTGACAAGGAATTTGTGGCAAGCTTTTTCTGGTAAAATCATGGTACATAAGAGAAAAGTCTTGCTTATTATATGTATATATATGAAGCATGTCTTGTTGTTTATTATAAGCACTCATTGGGATGTAAAGATATTCTTGTCACGATTTTTTTTCGGTGCGCTACATATTTCGATCTGGGTTTACCTTTGTCGAGCACTTTTGATTCAAAACGCTTCAACTCTATGACCAAGATTTTCAAACCTGCTCTGCAATTATGATTTTGTTCATCCTTGAGTAAAGATCGGAAAGAAAGTTTTGATTGGGAGGATGTCATTTCAAGGAGTTGTGAAAGGAAAGAACTCCTATCAAAAAGTTGGTCAACAAAGGTAAACAAGTTTGAAGTACATACTGTCGTTCCCAAAATGCTTGCCACATCGACTATTTTTCAATCGAGCAAAATCGTTTGAACTTTTGAATAACAAGGCAAATTCAAAATCGATCAATAAATATTTTGAAAAGAAAGACAAACCACATTTGTATTTCAATGACAATCCAAAATTGATGGAATCTTTGAATAACAAGATAAATTACAAGTTCTTTTGTAAGATAAATGATCAATCGATCATTTTTCAACACGATTTTCAGCAAAACTTTTTACTCGACACAAGATCAAAGGTGAAGTCAAAGAGCCCATAACCAACAATTGAGCAAACAAATTCATTTCTATTCAAGTGTTTATTGCGAAGTTAAAAACTCTTTAGGACGATAATCAAAAATCAAAAATTGTATCACAAAGACTCAAGATTTGATACCATTCTTAATGATTTTAAGTGTAAGTGAAAAAAACCACGGTTCTTGGGAGTTTTGAGCACAGGGAATCGAATCTGTTCAGTGGTTTGGAGTTGACTGGATCAAATGAGATATGGAGGTTTGTTGGAACCAGGAAGTGCTGCTTTGATGGCGGTCCTGAAAAGCTTGTTCGCAATTTTCTTTTTCTAAATCTTTGTATGTCATAATCTCTGGCGTAGTACATGAGATCAAAAGCTGTACCTGGTTTGAGACCGTATTTGACGAGATGCTTGGAATTGATGAAGTGATGATGTGGATGATGAGTGGGAAGAGGAAGAGGGCGAGGAAAAGAGGAAAAATTCCCATGTTGGGGTCTCCAAAAAGAGGGTTCCCTCTCTCTCTTTCAAGGCTATGGAATCTTGTGACAGCGGTAGACTACAGGATCCGGGGATTGCCTGGGAATTCTCTGAGACCCTGAGAATTTGAAAATGACCCCTCATAAGCCATGAACGTATGGGTCAACATGCCTTGCCGTTCCAACTTTTGGACATATACTTTATGCAATTTGGACATATATCTAGGTGCGTGATTCTTCCACGGATGCCTTGTCACATGGTTGACACCGC